AAATCTGACTAAAATGAGGAGGGAAAAGACCCAAACTAGCAAAATCAGAAATGAAATAGGGGAATTAACAGCAAACACCACAGAAAGGCTTCTCTTTTCAATAATGGCCTTTTTCACAGGTCCAAAACCCATACTATGCCTGGTGCCCAAAGAAGCTCCAGCCTCTGTCCTCAGGGTTGAATTGCATACAGTGACAAAGTTTTCTGGGGCAGTCACCTATGAATGAGGAGATAAGGATGGAGCCAACTACACTGGAGACATTCAACTGAAAATCTGAAAGGACAGACGAATAGGTGACTTTTACATGATCTTGGAGGATCAATACAGAGCATTCTTATTCAAATTGGGCATACTATGGGATCAAGTCTCTAATGACTTTCAAACATTATTGGAGGAGTGGAAGGAAAATATCCACATAGGTTTTGCACTCTAATCAGGTGAAAATGTGTATTTTCACTCCTTTATTCTGCTAGTTTTTAAAGCTCAATATCATTTATTTCCATAAAGTAAAATATTTATCACAAAAATGTAACTAAAACAAACATAAGTAACATTTATTAAATTCACATTCTTATGAAATTATCAACATTGTATATTTTCAGAAACATCATTTTTCTCATCTGAAAGGTTTATATTAACTCAAAAAATTTCCAATTCTTTCCACCTTCCAACCATGGAAACCATCATTCTACTAAGATAAATCACAAAAAAATAAAACCTTTATATTACAAAATTAACGTGACTATAGTATACATTTATAAATCCAATGTTAAGTTTGTTGGTTTCAAAGTCACATTTCAAATAAATGACATAGGTCCTGAGATTAGACGTTCCTGCCATGGAACCTCCACAGGATGTTTTTTATGTTCCTGATCCTCAGGTTTTTGGTGAAGAGACTCAGTGTTGGCTGACCACAGAGAATGACACTCTTTCTGAGACAATGAGATACAGAAGAGCCAAGTGCAATCAAATGCTTACTCCATAAAATAAGCCCATGATTTACAAACAAGCCACACAGTGGAAGGGATTTATACTTGTCACCTGATAATTTGATTCTCAAAATGGAGGAGATAATTTTATAATAAGTAAAAACATCCAAGGGTAGTAATGAAATTGGAGATTTTACATTCTCTAAGTAGGTACATTGTAAGCTAATTAATTGTGCAGCTCTAAGTCCAAAACTCTAACCAGAAAAGACAAAAAGAACTAAGAAGTCACAAAAGGAAAGATCAATGTTAATATAGTAATGGCAAAGAAGACAAGAAGGCACAAAATGGTGGTACACCACGACAGCATGGTATCATACACATGTGTAACACTGTATTAACATATCTGTGTTAGGTGTCTCGTCAAAGTGATTAATGTCTTGTGCATTTCATGTTCAGCAACCATCTCTGAGCCCTTGGTTAAGATGAAATGATGTCAGCCAAGGACAAGTTGCACTGGAAGAAGAAGTATAAAGGAGTGAGGAGGTATGAGAACTAGGAGTAAGAGCAGGTTCCTAAGCACGGTGACCAGATGCATGGACAGAAACCGTGGAAAGAGGGAGGAAAAACTGCTGTTCTAGATCATTTGGAAGGTCAGTTAGATGTTATTATAACATCTGGGGAGATTTTTGTGGTTAGTACTTATTTGGAAAACTTAAAATACAAAATGGATTGGAAAAGGAATTCGTTTAAGAGGCAGCTGGAACTTTCTGTGTACATTAATGTTCAGATTAATATATGAATTAGTATTCACAAATATTTTCACACACCATCAAGTAATTCCACCATTGTGACAATCCCAGTCATCAAACATCTCTTTCATTTGAATTGTATGTTTTCCAACTCCTTCTGTGCACATTGAATCAACTAAACAAGGTCACAAGACCAAAATCTTTTTAAAGATAACAAGTCCATAGTCACAGAAAATATATGGCCTATTCTTCCCTGAAAAAATATTGTTTTAGAAAGTCTTCATTCTTCTATAAGAAAAATCATTCTACATAGCAAGTAAATCAAATATAACTTTTATACTCTGATGGAGGCAATGATAAAATGCTCTTGATTTTGAATGTTTATGAAATTCTTAGAGCTTCCACAGCATTTCTGAACTAAACTGAGTAGATATTGGCAAAATACTCATTTATTCCAATTATGATCCAGGAGTTTCAACATTTTTGGATATTGTTATATCCCTATTAAGGGGTCATTCAAATTTTGGTTGCCTTTTAATAACTGTTTAACAAGTAGCTTCTACTCTTGTCTTCAGTGCAGTACACATTTTCATAAATATGATTTGGTTATATGTACATTGTCATGTAATATCACTACCATAAATATGGCACTTGTGTTCACTGCATCAGTCAGAAACTAAAACCCAATGAAATGTTATCACACTGTTTTGAAATTTTACACTTTGAACAGGTTTATTTATGTCCACTAAGAACACTTTACAATACACAAGTTTGTTGCTGTCTGCTTTAGAAAGCATCAAGTTTTTTTGGTATTTTAGTATTCTATGTGCATTACTTCATACATTTCTAATCATAAACCCTCTCATATATGCTGAGGGCTCTGGCACCAGGGAATGTTCCAATGCACAGGAATCAGTGCCATACGAGTTATGCATAAATAATAATTTTCCCATCCATATTTCCATACACATTTTATTTTAGTTTAAGAAATGTATGCAGCTTAGGTTCATTAGGCCATTTGTTGGCATAGTAATTTACCGTGGAAATACAAAAGTGTATACTACAGAAAATGTAGAAATTTTACTATAGAAAATTGACATAATAGTTATCACCATATACTCTTCTGGAAAGAAAGGATTTTTTTACATTTGGAGGTTTCTCAGTTTAATTAAGCAATAAATGTACATAAGAAAGTTTAAAAGTAACCAGATACCCAGACTTCAGGTGACTAATTTAATCAACATATCTGATGTGAAAATTTGGTGTCTGGCATTTTTAGATGATGGTCCCTAAACAGCAACTATACTCACTGTCAATACTGCATACAACCTATACTCAAATCTGAAGATAATATATTTTTTATCATCTAATACTTCATAATGTTTTGAAATATCCTTTCTAAGTTTGAGTCCTTGTTATCTCTGCATGGTTTCATTCTCCTACATACCTATTTCCCAAAGGCAGCTAAGGTCAGGAATTTGGTGTGTGAACTTCCTTGACAATGTTTCCATGTCAGTGTTGATTTATGTATCCATAAACTGTTTCTTTAAGAATTTAACTATTCTTACCTAAATCTTATCTAAGTCTTATACAATAAAACACCTCTTATGCATGAAATGTGGTAATTACACTAAAGTGTATATTTACTTCTCAGTTTGTGTCAACTGGGATTGAACTCAGATGACAATGCTAAGTGTTAGAGAAATTAATAACCTCTTCTTTTTCACAGATATAAAGAGCTGTGTGATGACAGGCATGATGATGCATACTTTCAATCCCAGGTATTATGGAAGCAGACAGGAGGCTTGATGTTGAAACTCAGTTAGAAAGTTAGAAAGACTCTGTCTTTCAAATAATGGGACATGGTAGTGTGCACATGTAATTCCAGCTAATTGCTACTAAGGTAAGAATAAGGTATTAATTGCTAATAAGTAGAGATAAAAGGATATAAGTCTGCAGGGTGTGATAGCAGAATGGTCCAAAGCACAAAAACCTACCTGAATAATGAACTCAATGAAAAATGGCTGGAGAGGTGACTCAAGTGATATATTACAAGCCTAGCAAGTATGAGGCTCTGCAGTAAAAACTCCAGTAATGTCAAAAGAAAAATTTTATCCAATAAAATTCCAAATTACATCATAAATCTAAGAGTAAGACTCATTGGAGCTTTTCACTATTTAAAACCAACCAGAAAATTTTAAGCATAGGTACACAAGTCCTAACCACATGGCCAACTCAGTAGCACTGTTAACCCCTTTCCTGTTTCTTTAGCAGTAATGAAACCATTTGATATGGAGTTGGTTGATATAAGAATTCAGAAGGACAAAGAAAGTTGTGCGGATATTCTAGAGTGGGGCAATATGGAAAATAAATACTTAATAATGCAAATGAATGGATTAGTGCCCAACAGAACAACCAGTGTGGGAGGGAAGCAAAATTTGAGACTCCCAGGAAAATCATTGCATAAACTTTCAGCCCTCATTGGTAGAGTTGGATATTGTTATCCTGCCATCTTCCTAGTGAACTTTCATGTTTGCAGTCATAATGAGGAAATTGATTTTAATTGATCCACAAAGCAGTTATTGACTGAAGCTTTGTAGCTGCCATGTCATAACCAAGAACTATGGTCATGGAGAGCTTTCATTACATCACATTAAGTCAAATGAAGGCTCAAACCCCACCTTTGTATTGGTATGAGCACAGTAGGATAGGAGCTTTCTAATGCAGACATCAAAGGTGGAAAAGATGCAGGCATTCTGAACAGAACTGGAACCATCAAGCTAAGAACAGGCCAATAATTTAGCATTGTTGTTCTTGCAGTCTAAAGGCACAGAGCTCATAGCTACACAAATATGTCTTCTGATTCCAACCTGTAAATACACCTCATATTAATGAAAGAAGAAGAACAGAAAATAAATGTAGAGAGAGAAGTTTGGGTCTTGCTTCTACTTAAGACAAATTTGAGATTTATCACTCATTTTATTCATTTCTTCCTTTTTTAATATTACTAATTTTGTTTCCTTTGTGGTAAAATTCACCTAATGAAAAGAATCATTTTAACCATTGCAAATACACATTTTCTTGGCATTGAATTTCAGTCACATTTTGGACAACCATTACCATTAATATGTCCAGAAAATTTTTATCATCTCAAACTGAATTTTTTCAATGAATTAAATAAATTGCAAGCCTTCAAATCATAAAACATTCAATCACAATTCTACCATGAAAAAAGTGCAAATCTGAGCTAGCAATCTTTAAAATAAAGACTGAACAAGAACATATTTACATCTATGTCTTCAGTTTTGGTAAACTTTACAAACTACAGTCCAAATAGATGGCACAGGGCTTGAGTTAAGGTTGTTTTATTGGGTAGGTGCTTCAAGGTCTGACTAATGTCTCTGTTACTCAGGCAGTAGATGAATGGATTCAGCATAAGGGTGACCACAGTGTACATCAGTGAGGCCACCACAACATGGCTTGAACAACGTGATACAGTTGAAGCAAAGTACACACCAAGGGCTGTTCCATAAAATAAGCAAACCACTGACAGGTGAGACCCACAGGTGGAGAAGGCTTTCTCCACTTCCCACTTGATGATGGCATTCTCAGAATGGAAGAAACAATTTTGTAGTAAGAGAAAAGGATTCCTGAGAAAGGAACAAAACCAAATATAGAAAAAAGAAAATACCTTACCATACTATTTTTAAAAGTTTCTGAACAGGACAGATTAAGTATTTGAGAAGGGTCACAGAAGTAATTAGAAATTTCCACATCTTTAAAACAGGTAAATTGTAAGGCTATCAAATTGTGCAGTTGGGAGTACAAAAGAGTGAACATAAAGGACATCAAAACTAAGACACAACAGAAATGAGAGTTCATAGTGACTGGATAATGCAGGGGGTGGCAGATGGCCACAAACCGGTCATAGGCCATCACAGTCAGAAGCATGTCATCCATATTTGCAAAAATGATACAAAGAGACATCTGTGTCAGGCAGTCCACATAGGAAATGACCCTGTTGTGAGTTTGGATGTCTGCAATCATCTTTGGGACTGTGGTGGAGATGAAACAGATATCAACCAATGACAGGTTGCAGAGGAAGAAGTACATGGGGTTATGGAGTTTGGACTCAGAGATAACAGCCAGGATGATGAGTAGGTTCCCAAGCACTGTGACCAGGTACATAGACAGGAACAGTCCAAGGATGATGGGTTGGAATTCGGGATCAGTTGAGATTTCCATGAGGTGGAATTCAGTGACACTTGTTAGATTGAGCACTTCTACATTGCTTGCACAACTGTTGAAAGAAAACTCTTTGGAAAAGTGAAACAATCAAACAGCCAATGCAAGAATATTTGATAATTACAAATTAGAATTCACAGTTGAGGTAAAAAAATACATAACTGTATTTCAATTGTAACTACTGGCAATCCTCTAGGAATCTTTCACTTTTGGTTACTTTACTATCTGCCTCCTTACATACACATCAACTGTAGAGACATGCAACAATGTTAGAATGGGGAAAATATGAGTCAACAAGTCAACTACCACCATAAAGTACAAAAGAGAAAATAAATCATACACATATGCCTTTTGAGAAATATTCTATTTGATGGGAATTAAGAAGCAATCAAAGGCACTAACAATGAACAAACAGAGAAGGAATATATGGAATCAATTCCATTCACAATAGCCTCAAAAAATCAAATACATAGACGTAAATTTAACAAAGGATGTGAATGACCTCTACAAGGAGAATTACAAACTCCTGAAGAAAGACATCGAGGAAGACTACAGAAGATGGAAAGATCGCCTGTGCTCATGGATTGGTAGAATAAACGTAGTAAAAATGGCTATACTACCAAAAGCAATCTACATGTTTAATGCAATTCCCATCAAAATCCCAATAACTTCATCACAGAGATTGAAAAAAATCTACTCTAAAGTTCATTTGGAAACACAAGAGACTGTGAATAACCAAGGAAATACCTAGCAAAAAGAGCAATGCTGTTGGTATCACAATACTGGACTTCAAACTACATTACAAAGAAAAAGTAATAAAAACAGCATGTTACTGACACAAAAGCAGAAATGAAGACCAGTGGAACAGAACAGAAGATGCAGATATGAATCCACACAACTATACCCACCTCAATTTTGACAAAGGTGCCAAAAATATACAATGGAGAAATGACAGCCTCTTCAACAAATGTTGGTGGGAAAAGTGGTTATCTGTCTGCAAGAAACTGAAACTAGATCCATGTCTGTCACTTTGTACTAGTATCAACTCAAAATGGATCAAGGACCTAAACATCAGACATGAAACACTGAAGTTACTACAGGAAGGAGCAGGAAACACTCTGGAACTAATAGGAATAGACAAACACTTCTTCAATAGAACCCCAGCAGCCCAGCAACTAAGAGAAAGGATGGACAAATGGGACTTCATAAAATTAAAAAGGTTCTGCACAACAAAAGAAATGTTCTCTAAACTGAAAAGACCACCCATAGAGTAGGAGAAAATATTTGCCAGCTATACATCAGACAAGGGACTGATAACCCGAATATATAGGGAACTTAAGAAACTAAACTCCCCTAAAATCAATGAACCAATTAAGAAATGGCCAACTGAATTAAACAGAACTTACTCAAAAGAAGAAATTCAAATTGCCAAAAAACACTTGAAAAAATGCTCACCATCTCTGGCCATAAAGGAAATGCAAATCAAAACCATACTAAGATTGCACCTCACCCTGTTAGAATAGCCATCATCAAAAACACCAACAACAACATGTGTTGGCAAGGATGTGCAGAAAAAGGAACCCCTCATACACTACTGGTGGGAATGCAAGCTGTTGCAACCTCTAGAAAAATATTTGGAGGCTTCTTAAAAATCTAAACATATACCTGACATATGATCCAGCAATCTCACTTCTGGGGATATACCCAAAGGAATGCAACACAGGTTACTCCTGAGGCACCTGCACACACATGTTTATTGCAGCACTATTCACAATAGCCAAGTTATGGAAACAGCCAAGATGCCCCATTACTGATGAATGGATCAAGAAAATGAGGCACTTGTACACAATGGAATTTTACTCAGCCATGAAGAAGAATGAAATCTTATCATTTGCAGGTAAACGGATGGAACTAGAGAACATCATTCTGAGCGAGGTTAGCCAGGCTCAGAAGACCAAAATTCGTTATGTTCTCCCTCATATGCGTACTTTAGATCTAGGGCAAATGCAGCAATATTGTTGGACTTGGATCACATGACAAGGGGAGAGCACATACGGGAGTTACAGGAATAGGTAGAAAACCCAAAACATGAAAGCATTTGATGTCCCCCCTCCAGAGGAACTAATACAGAAACTTTAAAGAGACAGAGTTTATCATGAGAAAGGGATCAGTAACCAGGGTAAAGATCAGTTAGAGACAAATCAACATGGGTCATAACACGTGTACACGAAGGCAATGCTAGGAATATTTCTGGATAGCTATCCTTAACTCAACTAGCAAAAATACTTTGTCTTCCTTATTATGCTTGTCTCTTTTCTTCAACAAAATTAGTGATAATGGCAGAACAGGACCTGCCTGGAATTGAGGGGGGAAGGAGGGAGAGGTGGGCGAGGGGGACAAGGGGGAAAATAGCCCAAACAATGTATGCACATGTGAAAAATGAATAATTTTTAAAAAACAAAACTGTATTCTTTTCTTTATTTACAGTGTTTGTAAATACTACATAAGGTAGTACTGCATTATCTGAACATTAAAATATGCAGTTCACAATGAGAAAACTCTGTAGTGTGCCGTCTTCTCTCAGAAGTTTCCCTCACTCCTAGGTTTTCGAATTTCCCTTTTTAAGGATTCAATTAGAGTCATGTTTCATTTTTAAATCTTAAAATCATTTAACATTTAACTCAGATTAATGTCCTTGATGCACTTCAATTTTTAGAAAGTTTCCTTAGTTCAGTGCACATCTGCGTATGACAGGATTCTCCTTGTGTGACGCTCTGTGTCCATAAGCAGACAGCCCAATACAATCATGACTTTAACTGCTAGTGCCTAAACATCAAATAAATAGCAATAATTTGCTATTGCAGTTTTGCAAGATAATGATATTGTGAGTTTTTTAAAATGCAGTAACATACATACATGAAAAGAAAAGAGCTACATGGCACAAACAGCTCAGAGCCAGCCACAAGTGTATTTCTCAATAATGGTTCATGACGTTATGATTACTGTCATCTTCATCTCACCTTCATAACCTTTTTTGGAATAACTAGGAAATGGTGCAGAATGTTCCACATCTCCTATTTGTGACAGACATCCATGGTGAGGAGATCCAGGAGAGGTGCAAAGAGAATTTTTTGAATAAGATTTCAGTATACTAAACATAACTAAGAACAAAAACTTTCCAGTCTGCAAATGTGCAAATTTTTGTATTGGTATTCTCCCATCAGCTATCCAAAATGTCATGTTTATTCTCATGATTAGGAGGATAAACAAAGAGCCTTTCTCTCATCTATCCCTCAACACTTACTAGGATAAATCACTTTCCTCTTTAGTCATGGCCAAGCTGTGTAAGTTCAAAGACCTTTCCACACCTGGTGTCCAACGAAGGTTCAGCTCCTGACTGCAGGATTGAAAAGAATGCAGTCGCAGTGGGAGTTTTCAGAGGCAGACACCTGTGAATGAGGACACAGGGATTGAGCCACATACCCTGGAGGCATTCAGCTAAAGGCCAGAAAGGACAGGATGATCACTGACTATTATGTGACCTTCGAGGATCAATGCACAGCACTTGTCATTAACCAAATTGCAGATATTGTTGGACCAAGTCTCTAAGGAATTTCAAACACTAAAGTAGGAGAAGAGAAAGATAAAAGAATATTAACAACAGCCTTCAGATTCTTTGACTACTCAGATGAAGATTTTTTTTACTTTTCAACTCTTTAATTTCTGCTTATTCTTTAAAGATTCAATAGCTTTCTTTTCATTTTACTAATAATTTTAAAACTACTATGTAAAGTAGTTTTAATTTTAATTCTAATTTTATTCTCATTTAAACATTGCAAAAATGTTATGATTTTAAATATATTAATTACAAACTCAAATAACGTTTCTGAAATTCTGATTGTTACAAAATTACTAACATCATACATCTCCATAAACATCTACTTTACCAACACAAAATTCATATTTATTAATAATTTCCATTATTACCACCACCTACACTTGGCACCTGTCATTTCTCTACAAAAAAACTCAACAAAATAAAGCCAAGAAACTTAAAAATAATATGATCAAAAAAGTAGAATGTGTAATCTAAATGGAAAGATCTGTAGTTTTCAAAACTACATTTCAAATAAATGCCAATGATCCTGAGATTAGACTGTTTTATTCTGGAGCCTCCATAGAGTACTTTTGATGTATCTATTGTCCAGGTTTTAGATGAGGGACATAGCACAGGTTGTCTACATTGGATAACATGGAAACTCATAACACTCTAATACAATGTGAAACAACACAGTCAAGTGCACGCTAATGCCTGCTCCATAACATAAGGAAATGACTGACAAGAAAGACACGCAGCTGAAGAGGATCAACCCTTCCCACTTGAAGACTGGATTTTTGGAATAGAAGAAATAATTTTATAATAAATGAAAAGTATCCAAGATATGGGACAGACATAAACATGGTGCCAGTAATATAATTCATTATATCATTACTGGAATTGTCAAAGCAGGCAAAATTAAAGAACTACACATGGCACAAATTAAATTGGATATTTTACATCTTTAAATAGGAAAATTGTAAGTCAATTTAATTTTGAAGGTGCAATTCCAAAACAAACCAAAAAACAGACAAAGTTGGAAGAGACAAAAAGGTCAATGTTCATGGAGTAATGTAAAGGACGACAGATGGGCACAGTGATGATAGAGCTCCACAGCAGACGCATACCATACACACATGCACAGATGAGTTAAAAGACATCGTCATGTGTCTCTCCTAAGGAATTAGTGTTCTGTGAATTTCAGTTTCTACCATCATCTCTGAGCCCTTGATGAAGATGAGTTATGTCAGCCAAAGACAGGTTGGAGAAGAAGTATATGGATATTTGAAGATGGGAGTGCAAAGTGACAAGCAAGAGGATGGGCAGCTTCCCAAGCATAGTGGCCTGAAATATGGACAGAAACAATCCAAAGATGCAGACTACTGTTCTGGATCATCTGCATGACAATGAGGCATATATCTGAGACACAGGTTTGATTTTGTGGTCAGGAATTGTTTGCAAACCTTTTGCAAAAGAAAAAAGAATTGGAAAAGAAAATTCAATAAAGAGGCACACGGATACACACATAAATGTATATGTACATATATACATATATGCATATATACACACACTTATATAAGGGGGATATTAAAGGAAGGGAAGGATATAAGGAAAGGGTGTGGGAGGGTGAATATGGTGGAAATATTATGGATTCAGGGATGAAAGTAGAAAACTGAATCATGATGAACCCATTCTATGAATGGGAGAGGGGGAATAAAGGAGAATGATTCAAGGGTGAATTTAACTAAGCTATATTGTAAGCACTTTTGTAAATGTCACATTATATCCCCAGTATAACAACAATATGATCAGAAAAATAAACAGGAGTGATAGAACCATAACAATAAACACCCTGGTGGTCAAAATAAAAATTAACAAATTAACAATCCAGACATCTGCAAACACACTTAATCACAGTAACTGCATGTAAAGATTTGGTGTCCTTGCATTAAGAACAGGGTATCTAATATCAAGTATATTTACTACCAATAATGTATATTGCCTATATTAAAATGTGAAGATTCTGTAACATTTGCTTCTGACCTAACAGTTCATATTGTTTTGTATTATCATTTGTGAACTTTAAGTCCTTGTTATCCCTGAGTGTTTTCATTCTCCTGCACATCCCATTCCCAAAGGCACCACTGTCAAGAATTTGGTGTACTTCCCTGCCAATATTTCCACATCAGCATTGGCATATGTATCCATAAACTGTTTCCTTAAGAACTTACCTAATACCTAAATTTCATGTAAGTAACAGTTGATGAATCACCTGTTCACTTTGAAATGTGCTATTTACATTAGAATGTATTTTTGTTTCTTTGTCTCTGTCAACTGGAATTGAACTCAGATGACAATGCTGAATGTCAGAAATACTAATAACCTGCTCTTTTTCATGGAAATAAGGAGTTGATCAAGGCAAGGCATGGTGATATCTGCCTGAAATCCCAGGTGTTTAAGTGGCAGAAACAAGAGAACGGAGTTTCAAAGCTAGCTGAGACAATGAAGTTAGCAAGACCTTATTCCTTGAAAAAAAAACCAACATGATGTTGTGCAAATGTAATCCCACTTAACTGAGTGGTAGAAGATATAGGTCTGAGCCCAGAATGGGCAAAATCACCAGAACCTATCTGAAAAACCAAACTAAAGCCAAAAAAGGCTGTAGATGTGCCTCAGGTGGTAGATGGTTTTCCTAGCAGTGTTAATCCCTCAGGAAAAAACCCCAGTATCATCCAAAAAGGGTGATACCACAACATTCCAAATTATATTGACAATCTCTGGGTAAAATTCACTGGTCCTTTTCACTGCTTGTCAATGACCAGAAATTTTTATGTATAAGTACAGATGTTTTAACAATACATCCAACTCAGGAGTATTGTTAACCTCTTTCCTGTTTTCTGAGAAGTAATGAATCCATTTGAGATGTGATGATTACAAGAATTAGTGAGTACATGGAATTCTCTAAGGATGTCCTGGAGTGGAGGAATGTGAAAAATGAGTGCTTAATAATGATTAGTGCATTCCCATTCGTTGATTTTCCCTATGATCACGGATATCATGTAATTGTTCTTGCAGTCACCACCAACTTATCTGTCTTGTGGTCTACTAGAAAAGCTCATTGAGGATAGGGTGTCATCCTAAGTGATTATGGAGTAAGTGGACTGGATGAGTGGTCAAGGAACAAAACCTGTAAGAGGAAAGCAAAATTTGAGTGGGGAATTTAAAATATAACAATCATAAATTTCCAGCCCTCATAAGTGAAATTGCATATTGGTATCCCTCTATCTATCTAGCCAATTTCTGTATTTGTCCTCTTAATGAGGAAACAATGGTTTTAATAATCCGTTCTCCACCCAAGCAGTAACTGTATCATTAGTGAGAACTGTGGTCACAGGGGACATTCATGGTACTGCCTGAGATTCAGTGAAGGCTGAGTCCTGAGCTGGTGGAGTGGCTTAAGTTGTAGAGAGCCTGTCTGGAAAGCATGAGGTCTTGAGGTGAAACTCCAGTACTGACAAAAAAATAAAAAATAGAAAATTATGAGAAGGCTCAATCTCCATCCCTGTATTGGTATGCACACTCAGATACAACTTCCTGATGCAGACACAAAAGGTGGAGGAAACCCAGGCATTGGCACCAGAAATGGAATCATTAAAGTTGAAAACAGCCCAATTCTTTACTATTGAAAAAATTGGAGTCTCAAGGTGTAGAGCTCATAGTTACACAAATGAAGGAAGAGGAAAAGAAAATGAATTTCCAGAAAGGATTTTGTAAACTTCACCTACTCAGAAGAAATCTTGAGTTGATTTCTTTTTTTCTTGATATCATTAATATTCTGCATTCCATTGTAGCAAAATTCACATAAAAATGTACCAGCTTAATAATTTTAATGCTCATTTTGTGGGCATTAAATTACAATGACATTTTTCTGCAACTATCTCTATTATCCATCTCCAGAAAAATTTTCATCTTTGCAAGTTAAAATTTTTTAACAAACTGAATAAAATGCCATCTTTCACCTCTTACTCTTCTCAGTCACCATTCTAGTATGAAATAAAATGTGACAACTTAAAGCCTTCAGTCTTCTAAGTGAAGACATTAATGACAAGGTATTGACATGTAGTTGTTCAATTTTGCTAATCTCTTCAACCTAATGATGAAATGGATGTTGCGAGGCTTGAGTTAAGACTGTCTTACTGTGCAGACGCTTCAGGGTCTTAGTAAGGTCCCTGTTCCTCAGACTGTAGATGAAGGAGTTCAGCATAGGGGTTACCACAGTGTATATCAGCGAGGCCAGCACAACATGGCTAGAACAATGTGATATAGTTGAACCAAAGTACATGCTAATGGCTGTTCCATAAAATAAGCAAACCACTGACAGGTGAGACCCACAGGTAAAAAATGCTTTATGCCTCCCACTTGATGATGGGATTCTCAGAATGGAAGAAACAATTTTGTAGTAAGAGAAAAGGATTCCTGAGATGGGGACAAAACCAAATATAGAAACAAGAAAAAACATTATCACATTATTTCTAAAAGTTTCAGAACAGGAAAGATTAACTATTTTAGAAGGGTCACAGAAATAATTAGAAATTTCCACATCCTTAAAACAGGTAAATTGTAAGGTTATAAAATTTTGCAGTTGGGATCCCAAAAGGCTAAACCATAATGACACCAAAACTAAGACACAACAGAAGCAAGGACTCATGATGACTGGATAATGCAGGGATTGACAAATGGCCACAAACCAATCATAGGCCATCGCAGTCAGAAGCATATCATCCATATTTCCAAAAAGGAGAAAAAGTGACATATGTGTCAAGCAGCCCACATAAGAGATGACTCTGCTCTGAGTTTGGATGTCCACAATCAACTTTGGGACTGTGGTGGTATGAAACAGATGTCAGCCAATGACAGATTGAAGAGGAAAAAGTACATGGGGGTTTGGAGATTGGAGTCAGAGCTGACAGCCATGATGATGAGAAGATCCCCAAACACTGTGATCAGGTACATGATCAGAAATATTTGAAAGAGGATGGGCTGCAGTTCTGGATCCTCTGAGAGTCCCATGAGGTGGAATTCTGAGACACCTGCTAGATTTCTTGCTTCTATGTTCTTGGACAACTGTTGAGAAAGAAAATTCATTAGAAAAATTATTTTTTTTCAGGTAGACATGACTGTGTATATCTCTATCCAAGTATTTACACATTAGAATTCACACTAGCGATAAAAGAAATATTCAACAAATATATTTCAATGTGACAATCGCAATCCTCTAGAAATCTTTTATTCTTGGTTGCTTTGCTATCCACCTAGTTCTATACATAGCAACTTTAGAGATACTCAAGCCTGTAAGAGGCTAAGATTATAAGAGTCACGAGTCGAGGATCACCTTAAAATACAAAATAGTCTTAAAGAATGAATCATATCCACTTCCCTAGTAGAAAGAAAGTTAAGGAACAGTCATTGGTACCTTGTTTTCTTTTAAGAAAGTTGTATGACTTCCTTTACTTCGAGTATTTATAAACTCTACTTGAGGTACCAGTACATTACCTGACCACTAAAACTGACAGTGTGTAATCGGAAAACCTACCGGTATGCCTCTTTTCTCCCAGAAGTTTTTTCTTATTCCTAGACTTTCAATTTCCCTCCTTCAAGGATGTTACTGTTCTCTCACATTTTATTTGCATATTTTAAAATTGTTTAATACGTAGCTCATATCAGTGCCATACTGAAATTCACACTTTTGTGAAGTTTGCTCAGTTAAATGCACAAAAGGATAAGGCATTAGCACACACTGCACCTATCAGGAAGCACCCTTGCATTTATTCATTGTGCATATGCTTATTTCTATTAACTCTATACATATCAGTAAAATAACTGTTATGTAATACAGCTGCTTACTCTTTTCCTTGAGTATGTACTCTAGAGTACAAAGTAATATGCTTCATTGTTTTCTTAATTATAAGACCTCCTACTTGCATCTGAAGACTTTAGCACCAAGGAAAGTTACAAGCCCAGGTTTGAATCCCAACCTTCTAATTTCTAATCAATAGCTTTTCACATTAATCTTCCTGATTCATAAATACCAATTCTCTTATTTTAGCTACATAACGAAACCATGGACTCAAGTTTTCTCAAGGCACACTATCATATTTAACCAGGAAAACTGAAAAACATAACAGATATGAAATGATGCAAACACACCTGAAAGAGTGTTTTTCCCTATAAATTGTAAAATAGGTATTATAATTATCTACATTATATCATTCAGTAAGAACACTTTTAAAATAGTTTGTCTTATAAGAAGTGGTTTTAAGTTTTCATTAATATAAGTAGAATATTTTCAAATATCCAGATAACTTGCCCTCAGACAAAACAGAACCAATTTTTTCAGAATGCCTACATTTGAAGTTTTTGTATTACTTTCTGGCACCAGAGTTGAGAATCAGTGTCTTCAATATTTCTTGGCAATTAGAAAATGCTCCATGAATATTATTAACAGACTCAATACTAATTCTCACATTAGCATATTAAGATTTAATAATATTTATCTCAAAAATAATATTTATAGAGGTTTTAATGTGCTTATAAAATATGATTTTTGGTTCCCTTGCATCATTTCATTCTCTTGTGCATTGGTTCCTAGAGAAAAATATTTTAATGTTTTAGTAGACATATTTTCTTCTCAATAGGTCCATGTCAGTAGTGATTTATACATCCAGAAAGACTTTCCCTAAATGGGTGCCTTAAAAAAAACTAAAGTTTGTCTAAGGAGTATACAGTACAATACCTATTGCTCATGAAATGTTCTAGTTTACATAAGTAAGTGGTCTGATTCCTTGTGAAGTGCAAATATCCACTACAAGAAATGTCATGGACTCATCAGCTGTAGTGACATCATCTAACTTGTAAGTTTGTTTTTAGGAGGACAGTTAAATTCTTGAACCTTTCTGCATTTCACAGAGATAGAATATCTGGTTCATAAATTGGTTGGTGGATAGTTCTCTGATTTTCAACAAATTATGTGTATTAAAGTTAACTATTAATTACATAGATTTTCCAAAAAAAGTGATACATTATCATCTACACTTTCTTATTCCTGTTATATACTGTCAAAATATCCCTTCAATCTATCTAAGAGTAATCTCTTTAGACTAACACACAAAAATTTTATTTCCTGTAGGTAGTATTTCTATTTTGCTCCAATACAGGAGACAGTGCTCTGGAAATTGGAGTTTGACAATGACCATGTTGGTCTCCATCACTGACCTGGTATCATTTGCAGAATATGTGCAAATGGCTCCAATTCTTTGTGTTCACTGCTTAACATAAAGAGAGAAAATAACCCCATTTACTCAACATATGTTGCATGTAAGGAGAGTCTGGAATTTAATAAATATTGATCATGTTTTTGAATAATAGATTACTGCAATTTTGCCTATTGTAACATAGAGCCAAGGTATCCACGACATAGACACAAACAAAATCTCTTCTATCTTATCTCTAGTTCTATGTGATATTCTTGAAAAAGATGAAAGTGCACACAGGAAAGCATCAAATGTGTTGATACCACAGTGACTATTGTCTATTAATGCAAATCTAGGAAGCATCTACTCAATACGTAGAAGACATTTTATGCATCCTCTGAGCCAAGTATCTGATATTGCAGATAATCAGAAATTAAATGGACACATTCATCACCAAATACACAGAACACATTTTAAAAGGACAAAAAATGAGATTTCCATTTCCAGAATTAGGAAAATGTAACGGCAGGTAGTAGGCTCATTTTCCTTAATAGTATATCATTACTCTTAATTTTAGTGTCTAAATTTTTTTCACTTGTTTTAAGTATTTATCGCATATTAATAACAATTTATTATTCATTATCTGTTTAATAGTTAATCAATGAAATAACAGCAACTAGTAATTAATGTGAATAAAATGCCAAGGCCCAGAGATGCCAACAAACTTCCCTACATGACAGATACTATATGTGAAGTCAGAATAATACACAATTAAAATGGCAATCTCTGTGTCCAATGCAATAAAATTGTTTCCATATTTCAAAGATAGCAGAAAGTTTGAAATAGGGTACAGAGATCTTAAACATAGGCAAATTGAGCTCCCCAGTTTTTACAAGTGCCACATTTAAGCTTATGTCCTTCCATCAGCTAACCAAACTGTCATGTTTGTCTTCATGATTAGGAGGACACAAAAATAGTGCTTCCCACATGCAGTGGGAACTGGATGAGTACATCCTCAGTACTCACTGGGTTAAGCTGTTTCCCACTTTAGTGATGCCCAAGGTGTGCTGGTCCATAGATTCCCCCATGCATGGTGATCAATGAAGCTTCAGACTTTGTCCTCAGTATTGAGGTGAATATAGTGACAAATGGAAGTTTGTGGAGGTAGAGAATGATGAAATGAGAAGACAGAGATGGAATCAGCTACACTGGAGACATTAAGCTGAAGGTCTGAAATGACAGGCTGATCACTGACTGTTATATGACCTAGGAGGATCACTGCACAGATTTCATAATTAGCAAAATTGTGGATATTATTGGAATAAGTCTCTAAGGAATTTCAAACATTAATGGGAGAAGAAGAAGAAAAAAGAATATCAACAACAGGTTTTAGATACTTCATCTGCTCAGGTGACTATTGTGTACTCTTCAGTTTTTTAATTGTTATTTTTTAACAGTCAGTTGCTTCTTTCCATTTTATTAGAACTAAAAATATTTCAAACATGTTTCTATTTTAAGCATATTTATTTCAAACTGGAGTAACATTTATGAAATTCACATTGTTGTGAGATTATCAGCATCATACATCTCCAGAAACACAAATCTTATGAATTCAAAAATTTCATTTAAAAAATCCTATATTACTCCCACCACCTAATCCTGGCAACTATCATTCCACTATGAAAAATCATGACAAATAATGTGAAAACATTAAAGAGTAATGTGACCAAAAAGGTGGATTTAAGTCTAGATGTTAAGATTTATTGCTTTTAAAAACTACACGTCAAATAAATGTCACAGGTCCTGATATTAGACCATTGCACTGTGGATCCTCCACAGAGCACTTTGGATGTCTTTATTCATCAGATTTTATATAAGGGGATACAGCACAGGAAGACAACAGTGAACAACATTGAGCCCACCATACTCTTTCTGAGACAATGTGATACAGTAGAGTCAAGTGCAGTCTAATGCTATCTCCATAAAGTGAGCAAGTAACTGAAAGTATGACACACAGGTGTAGAGGCTGTATGTCTCCCCCTGGGATGGGATTATGAAAATGGAAGAAATAATTTTATAGCAAATATGACGCATCCAAGATAGGGTGTACATACAAAATAGTGCCTGATGATGTTAAAATATACAAGATTAAAAATTGAACAGTGTCACAGAAGAAATTGCAAATTTTACATCCTTGAAGTATTTAAAATCATCCTACCTGTGCAGTTTAGGGTCCAAAAATCTATCCAAAAAAGATAGCAGATTTTAGAAGCCACAAAGGGGATATTCAATGATGTGCAATGCTAGAGGAGATGACAGCTGACAAACTAGTGACAGGCCATCACAGTCAGAACTGTGTCATACACACGTGCTGATTTTAATAGACACCTATGTCAGGGAGACCACATAGAAAATAACTCCATTGCAAATTTTGATTTCTGTAATCATCTTTGAGACCTTGGTGGAAATACAACTGATGTCAGCCAAAGATGTCCCACTACAAATGAATGGATTAAGAAAATGTGGTATTTATACACATGGGATTTTACTCAGCCATGAACAAGAATGAAATCTTATTGTTCTTAAGTAAGTAGATGGAATTGGAAAATATCATTCTGAATGAGATCAGCCAGGCTCAGAAGACTAAAAATCTTAGGTTCTCTCTTATATATGGACTTTAGATCTAGAGCAAATACAGAAATGTGGTTGGACTGGGTCACATGCTAAGGGGAGAGCATATGGGAGGTATAGGGATGGGTAGGAAACCCAAAACGTGAAAGTATCTGATGTCCCCACTGCAGAGGAGCTAATACAGTAACCTTAAAGTGACAGAGGTCAATATGGGAAGGGGATCAGGAACTAGGGAAAAGGTCA